GAGAGGCCCTGGAATGGAAGTCAATCTGTAACATTTATATGTTTTCTAATGTTATTTTGAATGAGTTATATTTGGAGTAACTTAACAGAAAAATTAGAGTATGTTTTACGCTTTCCTGTTTCCCAAATCAGTATAGGCTCAGCATAGGCCAAGGAAAATAGCAAACTTCAAAATCCATATTTCATGTGTGTTTTATTTAAGGCCTAACTTACTCTTCTTTAAATAAAAAATAATAAAAATTGTCAGTAATTTCAGTGGGCTTTCCATGGATCCTGATGTAAATAGCACAATATGCTGTTTTTAAGGCAGAAAACTTTTCAGAAAACAAACAAAAATAGGCTAGCCAAAAATGTATCTGAAGGTAGAAACTGTTGAAAAGTATAAACCTTAGGTATAGCATCACATGACATTTATATATAAATATATAAAGTTTAGATATTAAACTTTACAAGAGTGCTTCTCTGGAACAGGTGGCTAAAAAGTATTTCTATTAGTCAGTGTATGAGAACCTGCTATAATAATAATAATAGTAGTAGTAGTAATAAAGTGCTTTTTAATTCACAAGATTTAGCTTTCATCTTTCTTAATGCTCAATGGCACCCACCTGCCTGTGTTGACACCAAAACAACACAGATGTTCCCATGATTAAATTGAAATGAGAACTTTCATCAGCTGCAAAGAGTCTGTTTTAAGTGTATACTATTGTTATCACCCTGTAATTTGGGTCAGGATTCCAGTATTGTCTGGAGTGTAAGGTTCACTCATCATGGAAGGGTTCAGATTAAATGACCGTGAAGTTGTTTGCATGGATGTTCAGACTACTAATATAACAAATAGAACAGCTGTAAAATTCTGTTCTCCCCTCTTTTACTTGAGCTGCACATTTCTCCATCAACTCTCTTCCAATACAATTTGGCAAAATACATACATATATATATATATATATGTATATATATATATATATATATTTTTTTTTTCCTAACCTCTTCACCAAGTGGCCTTGTCTGTACTGGGTATATTCTGTTCTTTGGCATTAGTAATACCACCAGTCTCCCTACAGATGGTCTACTACTCCAAGATGGTCTATTATTAATTCCACTACTAACTTTATGGAATGATAGCAAGCCTAATTCATTGCAATGTTGTTGTGACCTTACGGTTGCTCTGTGGTATCTTCCCACAATGATTAGTCCTTGGAAAGGGGAATCTTAGGCTACTGGTCTTTTGTTAGAATTATCTTGGCTCTTGCAGGCTATCACAAGGCCCATAGTCTTTGCTAGTGGTGAGTCACAAAAACATAAAGTAGAACCTGATTTTCTTGTCTTTTCATATACACAGTGATGCGGTGATACATTGTTTAAAAAACTGTCAGCAGCTGACACTACTTCTAACAAAAGTCCTGTCATCACTACAGGACTGCGACAGAATTTGTATTAGCAATACAGAGACAGCTCTGTAAGATATTCTTATCACACACCAAATCCAAATTAAGCAATGGATTTTGAAAACAGATACTTGTTCAGAGCGGTGGCCCATATTTTATAGCGTTTATCCATTTTCTTACAGCTGCAGACTTGCTAACTCTTCAAGAGCACAAAAGAATACTTCCTGTTTGCTTTTTAGACCAAGTGAAATTATTTGTATACAGAACCATGTCCCTTCTTGTCAAGTGTCTCCAAAACTGTTTCTATCTGTCCATCATTTCTGTCCATTTTTTTCGTAGCTATTTTAACAGAAATTTCTTCAAGTAAATAGGTGGCTTTGAAAAGCAACTGAAGTTTGTATTTTAGTTTGTCCCAGTACTTTGAGCTCACAAAAAATATGCGCTTCATATTGTAATAAGATTAACAAGCTACTATATTTTACCGTGATTTGGATTCTAGCATTGTTTTGAACAGTTGCATCTTTGAATAAATATTCACGATGGCAAAGTATTTAAGCTAGTTTTGAATAATGCAAATACAGCGATGAAGTGATTCTTAGTTTTAAATACGATCAGTTGAAATCAACTGCATTTGTCATAGTTTTTAATTGAAATTCCACATAAGCTGTTCTTCTCACTAATGTTCTCATTAATGTGCCTATAGGTCCATATGTAGACAAGAGAGTAAGATACAGATTACAGTATCTTGGATTTGCATGGATTTGTAGTGCTCGTTAAAAAGTGTCGCAGCAGTGACATTAAGAAAAGGCAGATAAAATATAATTGTGAAATTCTGTGTAGAATAAGATATGAAGCTATATTGGAACTAAGGACTGAGGCTGATCAATTATAACAGTATCAAGAGCAATTAAACCCATAGAAAATACAAAATGGAGAAGAAAGAAAAATAGAAGAGAGAAAAGAGAGAATTTCTTACAGCAAGAAGACAGTGATGATTTTACAAAGGTTTCCTCACTCCTCTTAATACAAAACTAAAAATGTCAGGAGTAATTTTAATGTAGTTTGCAGTTTTCTGATGAAAAAAAAAAACTTTCAAGCTTCATATAGCAGCTAATCTGTGCATTTTTTGAATGGATTTTTTATCAGAAATTATTATGGATGTCTTCTTAATTACTTTCAGATGTAAGCCAAAATACGGATTCAGGTTTTTCATATCTGTCTGGATATAACAGATTTTACATACCATGTTCTGAAGTACCTGGCTTCGAGTATTTCCAGCCTTCGGTGAACAAGAAAACATTTTTCCTCTGCAGCTTTACGCAGACACCGGTGTATTTTTAGGCTGTTTCACAATGAGTAACACACTTTCAGACATCTATAGGGTGCGGACTGGAACCCAAGGGTGTGCAGTGAACGGGCAGGGACAAATCCTCGGAGAAAGCCACCGGCTTGCAGTACGTGATCTGCAACTGGCAGAGCCCCAGCTGCTGGCAGAGCTTGCTGCTGCCCCCAGCGGCAGGCTGCTCAGCGCTGCTGAAGCCCCAGCTCCTCGGGAATGCTGGGAATGTTGAGTCAGGGTCTGGCAAAACAGGCAGCCAGGCTCGCAGCTGACAGGGAGACTCGCCGGGGGACAGAAAGACGAGGGACAGGAGCGCACAAGCCTCCCCCGACTACAGCAGGTTCCCTCTCTTCCTCGCCTTGTAGGTGTTCGGCTTCTCCGGCTCTACTGCTGCCTCCTTCCTCCCAGCAAACGAGATGTCAGCTAAACGTGATGTAAAATCCATGTGAGGATGAAAAGACAGATGCAATGATTTGAAAGGTGAGAGGCTTAGGCGGTTATCATGCACTGCTGTGAATCTGTTGCGATTAAGGAATTTGCTATATATTGCTTTCTACAATTGTCTGATGGTTGAAACTGAAAATGAAATTGCAGAAGAGGTTTTTTATATTGCCTTAGAAATACACTGTGATAAATGGGACCAAGTCCACATCTCCTGGTAAGAGTGCCTCTCCCTACAGAATTGTCAGCCAGAAACCTTTCTTGCAATTTCTCCTTAAAGCAGCCATAGGAGTCTCCTTTTCTGTGCCCAATCTTTAAAAATATTACTATCGTTGTTAAACTCTTCTAGAATATAATTGATGAGCTTCAGAAATTTTTCGCTTTATACCTAGAAACTGGATGATGTTTTAAAAATTGTGTTAGGAAAAAAGATATTTCTGTTCCCTTTCAGAGTCTTGCGAAGGGAAACCAGAAATTAGCAGGATAGTATTTTGTAGTTATATAATTAATGAATACTTAATGGGTTTGCTCATTTAGGATGCTGTGTGATTTTTATTTTTTAAGATTATTTTAGGTAGGACAAGAGTGATGCAAACGATAAAATCCATGTATACATTCATCAAGGACGCATCTATATCTTGCTGAGAGCGCTATTTAGTAATACGGAGGAGAAATAATATATATTTTTATTAGTGTGTGATTGATTTCTAGGCAGCTACCTGCTAAGCCCCGTGATGATGGATGGGAATGTACTCCCTTAGCGGCGAGCTGATCATTTCCCCCTTGATGGACACTGCAGCCGGCCACTTGCGTTGGCAGACACAAGCTCGCTGCAAATAAGCCCGGCCAATAAGTGCAGCGAAGAGGAGGGAAAAGCTCACTTGTCAGGGTTAGTTTGCTGGTTGGCTTTTTAAATCAGGGGTGTCACTTAACTATTTGTTTAGGATTTGGGTGTTTTTTTTCTGCCTCTCATATCCCCCGTGTGTATACGCAGGGAGGCCGCCTCACACCCCGGCCTCTTCAGGCCCTTCTCCTGCTCCCTCTTTCCAAGGGCGGGGAAGGTTCCCCCCGTTCGTTCCGTGGCTTCTGCGCTGCCACTTGCCTTCCCTGTGGCGACATCGAGGACGGCAAATATCCTCTCCGCCTCTGCCCGGCCCTGCCGACCTCCTGCCGCCCTGCCCTGAGGGCAGCGGCCATGCCCGCACTGTTTCTGCCTCAGGGGCTGGGCGCTGCCTCCATCCCCTGCCGACGGGGACCCCTCCCGCAGCCCGAGGGGCAAGGGGACGCCGCTGGGGTCCCCTCCTGTCAGGCAGGCAGGCAGGGAGGGAAGGAGCCCGGCCACCTTCCCAGCTGTGACAGCGCAGCGACCCGCCGCCCGCCTCCAACGCGTCCCTGTGGCGATCTCGCTGCCGGGGGTGAGGCTCTGTCTACCTCGGTGCGGAACGACCCTCACTGCCTTGCCAGCCGCCTGTGAGAAGGAGACAGAGAAGGAGGAGAAGGGCGGGCTCGGCTCTCCCCAGCACCCCGAACGGGGCTGCAGGCAGCGCCCCTTCCAGAGGGCGGAGGCCGGGCGGTCGCCGCGCGCCAGATCCCCTCAGCGCCCCACCGCTGCGGTCGGTTCGCGGGGCCTGGCAGCTGCCCTAGCGAGCTGGGGTTTTCTTCGCCTGCCCTGGGGAAGGGCGAAGGCTTTTGTAGTTCCCATCCCCTCACGGTCTCATCCACTTGAGGGTGCTTGTCCTGATTTCTTAGTTCTCTGTGTCTGAAGGAGACAAGAGGCTTTTTTAGGATCTGTTTTTGCACGTGGGGAATGTGTAATGGTAAGTGCCTATGGTTTTCTTAAGGAATATGTGTATGTGGTGAAAAGGTTTGTTTTTCTTAGTGTGAGGAACTTGTAAACCTTGGCTTCCTGTGAAGTGACTGTACTAAGGTGTGTGTAGTCTTTCCAAATCTAAGTACTTTAGAGAAATCTTTCTATTACCATTATTTTAGTTTGGAAGCCCTATATAAAACATTATTCAGCAGTGTCAAGGTGAGGTAGCTATTCCTCTTCTAGGGGAAACTGAGGAAAACACAGGAGTGACTTTTGGTCCTGTGAGCAAAGGGAACATCATTTCCTTCTTCAGAAGGATTAGTGGGAGAAGCTGTGTGCTGCATCTCCAGCAAGAGCCCTCAGAGTGGGGAATATACTCCAGTTAAGAACTGATGTTTATTTTTTTGTACTAAACTCATTTAGCACTAAGTCTTCAGATAAACATCATGAGGTGAAATTTCAACTGCAAGAGGAATGAGGTAAAGTTCTGCTAGCGAGGGAAAGCGAGGGTGCAGGCTGTGCTGCTGTTGTCCTCTCCCTTATGCTTTTTGTTTTCCTGGGGGAATGAGTGGTAAAAGTACTGCAAAAACAGTTGGAATAAATACCTTTGAAGGATAGTGCTGAGGACAGAAAGGTTGTGTGTGTGTTGGGGTAAGTGTGACAGGTGTGGAGGAGACTTGGCTGCAATTACCTTTGAGTAAGTCCTGTTTTAACTGTGCTCAGGTGGTGGGGTAACTGGGTTGGTAGGCTGCCTTCCTGACTGTGGACAACAATACTTTTATTTTCTTTCCTTACTCTAGCATTGAAATCAAGTGCTTTGGTTTTCTAACTGTCTTTGTTTTTCTTTTTTCGTGTAGTATAAAGATAGGTTTACGAATGGGAAGCGTCTTCTGTCTTGAAATAAGATGCATTTTTTTTTGTCCCAATAGGTAGATGATTCAGCTACTGTAATGTTTTCCCTTCCTTCCAAGAATGAAGGACAAAGTTGGCATGCTGAGGCATCTTTTTGTCTTTTCCATTCCTACTGAGGAAAACTGAGTTTCTTGCCTTAGAAATTGCCCCTCTGGTCTTCCCAAGCATAGGTCTTCTTTTACCTTCTGTTGGGTAGTGTTTGAACTCACTGTTAAGTTAACATACTATCTCAGCTTCATTTGGAGGAGACCTATCTCACCACTACTCTGTTCTATGGGCTCTTTTTCAGCTCTGCTAACAGACAAATGCTGGGTCAAATTCTGATGAAAAATAGCATGAGGTATATTTACTCATGCCCGTAGTCCCCCCATCTTCTGCATGAGGGCTATAGAAAGGTGGCAAGGGAAGGGAACAGCCAATAATCTTAGTAGCAAAATGAGTTCAAGTGAACTCATTCAGCCATTTTAGAATGTAGAATATATGTGATTTTTAGAGAATGAGCAATTTGGCATGTGTGCTTTTGTAAGAGATTGCTCAGAGTGATTTTCTTGCTTTAGGAAGATGGTCCTTGCAGACCTTTGAGGGATGACTAACACTAAGGAGTGGGTGGTTTCACCCTCAAATAGGGTGAGGCAACCAGCCAGTGTATGACTTCCAAAGACAACATATGCTCTCCTACCTGTGTATCTTATGGTGTTTACTATATTTTTATCCAGTATCATGCATTTGTTATATTTTCAGTTAAATTTAATTTGAAAGATGCCAGGGGTATAATACGGAGATGCTTATTCAGATTCACATTGGCAATACTACTATTGTACTGAAATACGTTTTGTAATGTGACCATTTATTTGTGACTTATTTTGCAACAGCTATACTAGCTTATTTCCTATGAAGTCCAGGAAAAAGGGCAAGAATTACTTTAAAACAAAAGGAGGTTATATCTTCTACTTAAGGATCATAGTTGATCAAGGAAAAGCTCAGAAATGGAAAAACAAGCTGTAAACATAAGGAATTCTCTAAATGAACTGAATTGTGCTTTTTCTTCTGTGTGAAACTGAGAAAAAATGCAAATGCGGACCAGCAGAAGCATCAATTAAATCTTTTTCCAGAACATTTGATTTTTAATTGGTGTTTTTTTTTTTTTTGTGTGTAATGATTTTTGTATTTAAAAAAAAAATCATTTTGAAATAGACATTTAGGATGGTTCGTCACTTCTCATGTGCAAGATGTGATATATCTTCCCCTCTGCCAAAAAAAAAAGTCGGTAAGTTGATTATCTTATTTGCTTGGTGTATGGTTGTGGGTTATTTGTGCAGGCCAAGAAAGCTTATGAGCATAGATATCCAGTGCTCATTTGTAAAGGAAAATGTAAATGTCTTTCATGAATTAATGCTGGTAGCATAGTATTTAAGTTTTGATGTTGCTTTTGTAGCTGTTTATCTCAGGGAATTGTTGTGATTTGTTTAGTGATAGCGGTTTTAGAATGTTCTGATTTGGAATGTCTTAAATAGCCACCTTTTTTTTAGGAGTAGCTGTAACCATCAGGAAGACCATCCTCCTCTCCTTCCAGTCTGTTGGGTGCTGAGCTCTGGCCAAGAAGAGAACCATAGCAAAGGTGTCCTAGCACTTCTCTAGATAATGTTCCATTACTGCCGTACCATTTTTGTCCACAGGAACCTGGAATTCCTTCATGACAGTAGAAGTGTAGGCTTTGAGATGGACAGTTTACATGTTCAGAAAGCTGAATACCACTATGATCTCTTTAATTTACAATAGGCATAATGAGAGATCTGTGGTGTCAGGATTTATTTTTTGAGAATTGCAGCTGCAATGCATCTAAGAATTTGAGGTATTCCTCAGAATGTCAAGTTGGGTTTGGATGTGAGGGAAACTTTGATAATTTGGATGTTCAACAAGGCTTAGGTTTTTCTGAGAAGTTTTAGGATCAGGTTTTTAAAAAGGGACGTCAGCTTTCTAGATTATCATGAAATTAGCTTAGAAACTCATTTTTACAGACTGGCCTTCAGTGGATATAAAGCTTCAGACAAGTTAACGTGTGGCTTCTTTAAAGAGCAAAGGATTTCAAGTAAAATCCCACTTTACATAAACATTTTTTGAGCTTCTCCCTGCATGTCATGTGTTAGCATGCATTATCCTATCTTTATGAAGTCACAGTGCAGAAGTAGCATTTAGCAGCTAAATTCTACATAAATGGGATATAAATGACTTTGGTAGGGAAAAGTATGAGAAACATCTAGAATTAAATCACTTAAAAATCGCAAATTGTTTGAGAAATGCTGGGAGTGGAAACTTCAGAGAAAGATAAAGGATGCAGGTACACATGAAAATGATACGCTGTAGTTACTGGGATAGCCATGGGCTTGAGGGAGGAAGTCACTGGAGAAAGCAATGTATACAAACTTGGACTAGTGACTGCCTAGCTGGGTGTAACGTGCAATGTATTTCTAATGTGAAAGAAGTATAAGAACAAGAGTTTCTGCTGTTCCTAAATTTAGTTCAACAGATCACACATTACACAGATGATTGGTAAAATGTGGGACAATCTCCTACCAAGTAAATAGTTCAGGCTGCTTGGAGTGAATGCTGCCTTATTGGCCATATAATTCTACCAACTTTGAGAGGATGAGAGAACACTCCGGTGATTTCATTCCAAGGATGGAGATTCTCCTTAGTCCTCCTCCTCATGTTATAAAAACACTTTCTGTTATCTTTAACAGCAGTAGCCAGATTGAGTTCCAGATAAGCTTTGGCCTTTCTAATTTTGTCCCTACACATTCTTACAACATCCTTATAGTGCTTCTGAGTGGCCTGCCCTCTATTCCAAAGATCATAAACCCTCTTTTTTTTTTTTTCTTCTTAAGCTCTAGCCACAACTATCTGTTCAGCCAGGCTGGTCTTTGGGCATGTGGGGACGGACTGCTCCTGAGCCTTTAATATTTCCTTCTCGAGGAGTGCCCATCTGGCTCTGGTGAGGCTGCACCTCGAGTACTGTGTTCAGTTTTGGGCCCCTCGCTACAAAAAGGACATGGAGGTGCTCAAGCGAGTCCAGAGATGGGCAACAAAGCTGGTGAGGGGCCTGGAGAACAAGTCTTACAAGGGGTGGCTGAGGGAGCTGGGTTTGTTTCGCCTTGAGAAGAGGAGGCTCAGGGGCTGAGGTCAACTGCATGAAGTTCAACAAGGCCAAGTGCCGGGCCCTGTACCTGGGGCGCAATAACCCCAAGCAGAGCTACAGACTGGGAGAGGAATGGTTGGAAAGCTGCCTGGCGGAGAAGGACCTGGGAGTACTAGTGGATAAGTTGGCTGAATATGAGCCAGCAGTGTGCTCAGGTGGCCAAGAAGGCCAACAGCATCCTGGCTTGCGTAAGAAGCAGTGTGGCCAGCATTGCTAGGGAGGTGATTGTCCCCTTGTACTTGGCTCTGGTGAGGCCACACCTCGAGTACTGTGTTCAGTTTTGGGCCCCTCGCTACAAGAAGGACATGGAGGTGCTCGAGCGAGTCCAGAGAAGGGCGATGAAGCTGGTGAGGGGTCTGGAGAACAAGTCCTACGAGGAGTGGCTGAGGGAGCTGAGTTTGTTCAGCCTGGAGAAGAGGAGGCTCAGGGGCTACCTTATCGCTTTTTATACATGTAAGTACATTAAAGGAGGCTGTAGTGAGGTGGGGGTTGGTCTGTTCTCCCATGTGCCTGGTGACAGGACGAGGGGGAATGGGCTTAAGTTACATCAGGGGAGGTTTAGGTTGGATATTAGGAAGAACTTCTTTACTGAGAGGGTTGTTAGGCATTGGAATGGGCTGCCCAGGGAGGTAGTGGAGTCACCATCCCTGGAGGTCTTTAAAAGACGTTTAGTTGTAGAGCTTAGCGATATGGTTTAGTAGAGGACTGGTTAGTGTTAGGTCAGAGGTTGGACTTGATGATCTTGGAGGTCTCTTCCAACCTAGATGATTCTGTGAATTTATAATGTAGGTTTATTGTGTCTGGACTCACAGCTACACTCTTTGGCATCTGTTTGGCTTGTTTCATCACAAAAATAGCAAATTAAATGAACTTGGAGACTACAGTACTCTAATTTCCAGAAACAAATTCCTGCTTGTCAAATGGGGTTGAGTCCTGTTGGAGGTTGTGCTGCTGCTGCTTCAGTTTTCAGTATCGTTAACTAAGCACTTCTCATGATCAGTAAAATTAATTTACAGGTAAGCTGCTAGGAAGAATATTTCATTACATCTGTATGTGCAATGGCTGAATCCTTCATTTGTTTATAAAATGTTATAGTTTGTATTATTTCTGTGACAATGTGAACTTTTCCTTAAACATTTTTTTTTTTTAATGCATTCTTTTCCTCAAAATATGTTGCTGTTGAAATAGAGTTCTTCTATTCTTTAAACAACTCAGATTAGTGGGCAAATAAGAACAATTTGCTTTACCATGTCCTTTTGTTGACCAGTGCCAAGTAGTAGTGCAAGAAACTACTTCGTGCAAAAAAAGTGCTTCTCTGGAAGGAAGGCTGTGCTTTGTAAAGCATGCTGATTTTTAGTGGCTAAGTATTTGCAGTCACGGTGTACCTTGGCTTTCATTTATATATCTTTTTCGCAGGCCCCATTTAAAATCTTCTTAGACAATTTGTTTTTCCTTAAGAAAAACAGTTACAATAGCATCTGTTATGAATGTGAAATGTTCACATCAAAAGCTTGGAATGACTTCTGACTTGCACTTGTCAATTGGCATGGTTATGCTCAACTGAGATGGGTTCAGTGTCAGTGCAAAGGTGGAAGATAGAGTCATGCTCTGAAGTTGTTGATAACCGGAAGTGGTTGGTGAACTCCTTTTGGCCTTTTCTGGGAAAAAATAAAGAAAACTGCAGAAGTGGAATGCCTTCTAACAGTTCCAGGGTGCTGATTTTATGCTGAATGAGGGGTAACCTACTAAATCACCTCTATCACTTGCAGAGCCTACAGTCCTTGGAGGACTTGGATCTGATGTGGCTGAGGCACAACCAGTACTTTTTTTGGGCATGATTCTCAAATGTGTGAACCCTCATATCCTAGTGAGGAGAACAGAGGCGACAAGTTCAGCATGTTTTTGAATTCTGTTAACTTCAAAGCAAACTGAATGTGCGAATGTATGCTTTTTAATTTATAATTGAATTGTGTATATATGTTACTACTTTTGAATCCAAGAAATGTAAAATGCTGAGTGCATGATTAGCATTGTGTGCTAAAGCTGATGTATCACGGTGCCACTTCCCTGTGGGAAGGAAACCCTGAGGTTGCCTTTTTCTTTTTAAGAAGGTCTGGGTATTCATGGACCTCTTTCATGGGGGGCTTCAACTTCCCAGACATATCCTGGAAGCACAACACAGCCCAGAGAAAGCAGTCTAGGAGGTTTCTGCAGAGCGTGGAAGATAGCTTCCTGATGCAGCTGGTTAGTGAGCCTACCAGGGGAGGTGCGCTGCTAGACCTTCTGTTCAAAAACAGAGAAGGACTGGTGGGAGATGTGGTGGTTGGAAACTGTCATGGGCAGAGTGACTATGAAATGGTAGAGTTCTCCATTCTTGGAGAAGCCAGGAAGGGGACGAGTAAAACCGCTGTATTAGACTTCCTGAGGGCTGACTTTGAACTGTTCAGGACACTGGTTGGCAGAGTCCCCTGGGAGGCAGTTCTGAAGGGCAGAGGAGTCCAGGAAGGCCAGGCACTCTTCAAGAAGGAAATCTTAATGGTGCAGGAGTGGTCTGTCCCCACGTGCCCAAAGACGAGCCGGTGCGGAAGAAGACCGGCCTGGCTGAACAGAGAATTGTGGCTTGAGCTTAGGAGAAAAAAGAGGGTTTATAATCTTTGGAAAAGAGGGCGGGCCACTAGGGAGGACTATAAGGATGTTGCGAGGCAGTGCAGGGACAAAATTAGGAAGGCCAAAGCTCATCTGGAGCTCAATCTGGCTACTGCCATTAAAGACAGCAAAAAATGTTTTTACAAATACATCAACACAAACTGGAGGACTAAGGAGAATCTCCATCCTTTACTGGATGCGTGGGGGAACTTAGTTACAAGAGATGACGAAAAGGCTGAGGTGCTTAATGCCTTCTTTGCCTCAGTCTTTAGCGGCAAGACCAGTTGTTCTCTGGACACCCATCACCCTGAGCTGGTGGAAGAGGATGGGGAGCAGAATGTGGCCCTCACTATCCGCGAAGAACTGGTTGGTGACCTGCTACAGCACTTGGATGTACTCAAGTCGATGGGGCCAGATGGGATCCACCTGAGTGTACTGAGAGAACTGGCGGAGGAGCTGGCCAAGCCACTATCCATCATTTATCAGCAGTCCTGGCTATCAGGGGTGGTCCCAGCTGACTGGCGGCTAGCAAATGTGGCGCCCATCTACAAGAAGGGCTGGAGGGCAGACCCGGGGAACTACAGGCCTGTCAGTTTGACCTCAGTACCAGGGAAGCTCATGGAGCAGATTATCTTGAGTGTCATCATGCAGCACCTGCAGGGCAAGCAGGCGATCAGGCCCAGTCAGCATGGGTTTATGAAAGGCAGGTCCTGCTTGACAAACCTGATCTCCTATGACAAATTGACGCGCTGGGTGGATGTGGGAAAGGCTGTGGATATGGTCTACCTTAACTTTAGCAAGGCTTTTGACACCGTTCCCCACAGCATTCTCCTCAAGAAACTGGCTGCTCATGGCTTGGACTAGCGTACACTTCGTTGGGTTAAAAACTGTCTGGACAGCCAGGCCCAAAGATTCGTGGTGAATGGAGTCAAGTCCAGTTGGAAGCCGTTCACTAGTGGTGTTCCCCAGGGCTCAGTACTGGAGCCAGTCCTCTTTAATATCTTCATCGATGATCTGGATGACGGGATTGAGTGCACCCTCAGTAAGTTTGCAGATGACACCAAGTTAGGTGTGTGTGTCGATCTGCTCGAGGGTAGGAAGGCTCTGCAGGAAGATCTGGATAGGCTGCACCGATGGGCTGAGGTCAACTGCATGAAGTTCAACAAGGCCAAGTGCCGGGTCCTGCACCTGGGGCGCAATAACCCCAAGCAGAGCTACAGACTGGGAGAGGAATGGTTGGAAAGCTGCCTGGCGGAGAAGGACCTGGGAGTACTAGTGGATAAGTTGGCTGAATATGAGCCAGCAGTGTGCTCAGGTGGCCAAGAAGGCCAACAGCATCCTGGCTTGCGTAAGAAGCAGTGTGGCCAGCATTGCTAGGGAGGTGATTGTCCCCTTGTACTTGGCTCTGGTGAGGCCACACCTCGAGTACTGTGTTCAGTTTTGGGCCCCTCGCTACAAGAAGGACATGGAGGTGCTCGAGCGAGTCCAGAGAAGGACGATGAAGCTGGTGAGGGGCCTGGAGAACAAGTCCTACGAGGAGTGGCTGAGGGAGCTGAGTTTGTTCAGCCTGGAGAAGAGGAGGCTCAGGGGCTACCTTATCGCTTTTTATACATGTAAGTACATTAAAGGAGGCTGTAGTGAGGTGGGGGTTGGTCTGTTCTCCCATGTGCCTGGTGACAGGACGAGGGGGAATGGGCTTAAGTTGCATCAGGGGAGGTTTAGGTTGGATATTAGGAAGAATTTCTTTACTGAGAGGGTTGTTAGGCATTGGAATGGGCTGCCCAGGGAAGTGGTTGAGTCACCATCCCTGGAGGTCTTTAAAAGCTGTTTAGATGTTGAACTTAGCGATATGGTTTAGTAGAGGACTGGTTAGTGTTAGGTCAGAGGTTGGACTCGGTGATCTTGGAGGTCTCTTCCAACCTAGACAAGTCTGTGATTCTATCTCCCAATATGTAAGAATTGAGTTGTATCTAATTCAGTTTTATTGAAAATGTCAGAAGTTATGCAGGTAGCCTTGTTAGCTGATCCTATGGCTATTCATTTGTTGTTCTTCTTAAAAAGGAAATTTTGTAGCAAAAGAAGAAAATTGTAGCTTTATTCTGTAAACATGTGAGCCTGTGTTTAATAACATTCAGGTGGGTAGCCTTAGTGAATTTAGTGGAAAAGAATCCATTGTGTAGAAGTACTTGTTTCTAAGATGTGAGTTTGAAAGACATCTTAAAATGAAAATTATTACATTACCGTAAATGACAGAATATGAATAAACATATCTAATATGAAAGTAGACAACCCTGGAAGTCTAATTATAAATTCAGTCAATTTTCTTTTAAATTATTTTTACCTCTTTAGGTTTTATTCCTAAAATAAATTAATTGCTGCCTTTAATGTGTTTAATATATGCATCATATGTTAACAGATAAATCACCTTATGTTTCAAAGAGTATTTGTATGAGTGACATATAGATGTTGGCTGTTGCATGACCATGCTTAACAAGTTTTTGGGGTATTCTACCATTGTGGCCTTAGTTACTTTGCTTTTTCTTAAATGTGTATTTTGGCATTATTAATATTCCTGATCCATCCCAAGTGACTCTTCCTGTTGCTTTTGTAAGGAATTTGTAAGGCAATATTTAATATCATGACATTGTTCTAGCGGTTCATTCTGTGTCTTTTGTTATTTATTGCTTATAACCTTGTCTGCTCTCATGTTGAGCAAAGGGAAAGATAGATAAGAGGCGAAGCTTTATGTCTTAGCGTTTACAAAAGCTTTTGGCTTGAAGCAATATCTTTAATATAAACACATTTATTAAAAATGTTAAGTTTTTTTTTTTTTTTTTTTAAAGTGTAACTTTAATGAAACTGTTATTTGTACCACTTTTGAAGACCAAACACAGACTTTTCATCACCTTAATTCTACAAGCTACTGGAGCAAGGTCTAGCATCACAGCAGCTCTCCACACTGGTTCTTCCTTCCAAAACCTTTGTAATGATCCTTAGCCCATCTTCCCTTCTTAAATAATGACATAAGCTTGCATAAGCTAATGTTGCACATATCTGCAATAATGCTTGTCTTTGTAAGTAGGTGTTGTTTATGCTCCTGGTGGGCTCCAGTAGTCCAGAGTATGTGAATGAGAAAAATGAATGCACAAGACTATACAAAAAAAAAAATTAAAGAGTTCTGACAGAATCACAACTTGGTGTCATTAGCATGCCTACAATTTGAAGAGTTGACTTTTAAATTATACCCTTACCTCCATCACATTTGATTGAACCCTTGACAAAGCAAAAAATATCCCAAACATTTTAAATTTCCTTGCTCACAAACAAAGCAGTAATGTGGACTAGATAATAAGTTAGCAATATGAAGTTGCAACGTGAATTGAACTACTTGCTGCAGTTTGGATGCTCCAAGGCAAATGAGACTTCAGCTGAGAAAAAGCTTGGCTGTTCAAGCCATAAATAAATTATTTCTGACTTAAAACTTTTTTTCCCTTACCCTACTATTTTCTTTACTTTTTAAAATACAATTATAAAAATGCAAATTTGAGCTGAAATAACTCTCAAATTGATTCTTTACCTATATTAATAATGAAAAATGTATTGCTTTAAAAAAAACACAGCTTTATCTACATTTCTCGTGTCCTTCTTCAAGTTACAGGTGCTCTGCTAAAGAAGCTTTAAAAATTAGTCTTTTGTCCTTAATAAGTGTAACTGCTAATGTATTGGTTAAAAGGAAGGGAAAAGAAAAGGTGGATTTCTTGCCATTCTTTATTTAGAAATAATAGAAAAAAAATGGTCTTCTAGTTTTTGTTCTAAAACTTTCATGCTGTCTCAGATTGTTCTTATTTTTAAGCTCTAACTTCTCAATTGAAATAGATAATAAAATCTAAAACAAAGATAATATTTATGTATGCTGTTAAATACTCACTCAAACTGGGTAGACTTTGGCAAAAGTAAAGAAAAATTGTGCTGGTCAATAGGCCTGATTTTTAGGATACTCAAAAATGATGTCTGCTTTTATTGTTTTTTTTTTTTTTTCTCCACAAAAGAGACCATTTTAGTTTTTTTTTTTCTTTTTAAAGACACCTAACATTTATGTTTATTAGTAGACACTAAACTAAAAATACCGTTTGTCTGGATAACCAGGTGCCTTAGAATAATCCCACATAAAAGACCTGAGTTTGTAAATGCAGTCTTGCATTGATAAATGAGATTTGTTAGGGAGAAGGAAGTACGAGTAGAGGTGAGGTAGTGTGTACTAGACGTGAGGGAAGTGACAAGCACTTGCAGGAGCCTTTGGAAGGCACAGTGAATATAAGATAGGATACAGGATCTAGCTCAGAAGACACCTGCACACTGAAATGTTAAGAACTCTTTCTTTGAAAGACAAATGCTTGCCTAACCTTTTGAAGTACCTGTATATCCCAAGAATGCCATTATGGTGCAGAAAAGCTGAGAAGACTCAAACTGTAAAGATGCTTCCAGTGGTCTGGAAAGTATGTTTTTCTTAAAATATATATATATATATATTTTTTTTTTCCAACAAAAATAGGAGCTTGACAGTAGAAGCTGAAGAGAGAGCGGACAACAAATCCTTGATGCTGAAGTCAGGACTGTACTTTTGTTGAAGAATGGCTCAAAGAGCAAGGGCATGGGTCTCTAGCGGAATTGTACAAGCAAGGCAAAGAAAATGCAGAGTTTATAGCCATGGAGTAGGCCGGATGAGAAGCATTCTTGTGAAAATATGCAAGGAGCAGTCTGTCCTTGAGAGAGATAAACAGATGGATCTGAGGCCTGGGAAGATGAGGAAATAGCTTATGCGCTGTAACTGCAAGTAGGAGAAACTATTTTTTGCAACACTTTTAGGCTTACCAATAGGATAGTGACCAGTATGCATAATTATAGCTGTGTGAATAAATATATGGATATCTGCACAATAAAGTTGAAGCTTGTATTACCACTCATATTGAGTCAATCACTTGCTTCCCTGCGCCATAAATCGGAGGGTCTCGCACCTGCAGTGGCGCCCGAACAGGGACAACATGGAACCGAGAAGCGTGGTGAGGACAAGCACCGATTAGCAACAAATCGGAGGGCAGAAGATTGCCTAGACCGACCAAAAGGGGTCTGCATGGTCCGGAGGGCTACCAGCGTGATTAGACACGGAGCTGCACAAATCACGGACAGACGTGGCGCGGACAGACACGGCAAAAAGGCCAGCACTATGGATAAGGAGGTAGCCCTCAACTTATTGCAACGCTTTTTAGAAAAGCGAGGGGTAGAAGGAGTTAAGCATATTCCAGGGCTTATAGCCTTTGGGGTAGCAAAGGGCTTTTTTTATAATCCTGAGTCATACTTTGATGTGGAAGAATGGAGAACTTACGGGGACTGCTTGTGGGATTTAGCTATAGATGATGATAAAATAGTTAAAAAATTAATGAAACCGTAGCGGGAAACTATTAATAGTTTAAAAAGATAAAAGTTAGAACAGCAAGTTGCAGCTGTGGTTACCCAGCAATTAGGTCAGCCCTGAGGATCAGAGGGGCTGTTCTCAGTGGGGGGGCGATTACTTGCCTATACTTGCCTATTGTCTGGGAGACCAATAACTGTTAAGCCACGGCACTGTTGCCGGGGCCCCCAGGGGCGTCACTACCCCCCTCTCCTAGTAAAAGCCCAGACGCAGATCAGGAGACATGGCCTACGGCGCCACCCCCTCCAACCACTGTCGAAACTGAGATAAAAGTCTCAAGAGCAGAAAACAGGGTCTCCGACAGCAAGGAGGAGGTGGTGGGGCAACTCATTTTAAAACCGAAAGAGTATACACCCAGGGAGCCTTAAGGCTTCCAGTAAGCCACTGCCAAAGCCCTCCCCACAGGGGATAGAAAGGGTTAATTGGCAGGTGATAGCCAGAGAGGTGGCAGATGCTCAGGACTCTGAATTGCTGAGCCCGCTCGCTGATCAGGCTTTCCTAGTAACCTATGGACAAGGGTCTGCGGATCTGCAGGGAGCTCACACCCCACTTGATTGAAAACTACTATCCCAGATGAGAGCCACAGTAAATGAGAGTAGGTTGCATAGTGTGCCGACCAAGAAGTTGCTTAATTATATTTGGGGCAGCACTATTTTATGTCCTGAGGACATCAAAACTATTGTAAGAATGATTATGACACAATCTGGTCAGTTGCTATTGCAGGCTCATTGGCAACGCATATATGATATCAGTGCTCACACACCCCAACCATTGGGAGATCCTTTAGAATACGTAACTACTGAGCAATTAATGGGGATTGGGAGATTTGCATCGGTGGATATGCAGGTACAGTTAGGGCCAGAGATATGCCTAGAGAGCATGAGGGCAGCCCGTGCAATACTCCAACCCCACTCTACCGGCCCACCACGAGATGGTGCTGCCCACGATCCCAACACCTGCCCTGCCTGCGATGCAGCCCATCTACAGTCAGATGCTGCCAGATCACAACAACTACAACCAGCCACATTGGGAGATACTCTGCAAACACTGGAACTATTGGCCATTGTCTGGGCCTTCACGGAATGGATGACAATTTGTGGAGACCGAGCATGGCAGGGGATACTGGCAGATGCGTACAGAGGTCCCTGCTACCTTGGTCAATTGGGATTATTTGCACCTCGCCACCAGGACTGGCTGAATATCTCCAAGACGATGTCCAGTAGAGTGAAAAGAGACACTCACGGTTTAACACCTGACTGTAAAGATGATGTTGAATTATGGTCAGCAACCACGCGAATATTTGCCTCGTTCTTCACACCAGGGGTGGCAGCTGTGCGGACGCTGACACAGTAGAAAAGTTGGCATGCTGGACAGTGAAACAGTTCAACGCAACTACCGACATCCTCTCTCAAATGATGGATGATATGGACAGTCTATGACACTCAGTGTTGCAGAATCGGGCAGCCATTGATTTTTTGCTGCTGGCCCAAGGACTTGGTTGCAAGGACTTTGAAGGAATGTGCTGTTTTAATTTGTCAGATCATAGTGAGTCAATCCATAAAAGGCTGGATTGGCTAAAAGAACATGTGAATAGAATACAAGTGAATGTTAACCTGTTTGATACCTGGTTGAAATCCCTGTTTGGTGACCTTTCCCCTTGGCTTGTATCCCTTATTAAGGAGGGTTTGAGATTGCTGCTTATTGTACTGCTGATAATCATTGTTGTCAAGATAGCTTATCATTGTATTGTGAAAGGGGTAACAAAGATGATGAATGGGGCCTTGCTTGTACAAAAAGAAAAAGGGGGAATTGTTGAAGAATGGCTCAAAGAGCAAGGGCACGGGTCTCTAGCGGAATTGTACAAGCAAGGCAAAGAAAATGCAGAGTTTATAGCCATGGAGTAGGCCGGATGAGAAGCATTCTTGTGAAAATATGCAAGGAGCAGTCTGTCCTTGAGAGAGAGATAAACAGATGGATCTGAGGCCTGGGAAGATGAGGGAATAGCTTATGCGCTGTAACTGCAAGTAGGAGAAACAGTATTTTTTGCAACACTTTTAGGCTTAGCCAATAGGATAGTGACCAGTATGCATAATTATAGCTGTGTGTATAAATATACGGATATCTGCACAATAAAGTTGAAGCTTGTATTACCACTCATATTGAGTCGATCACTTGCTTCCCTGCGCCGTAAATCGGAGAGTCTCGCACCCGCATACTTTGATAAACTAAATCAAGCATTTTTGCCTTTTATATTCAAAACTTTTCTTTTAACAATGCTTTGTTAATTTCAGTACTTAATATGTTAAAGGATGAGGCCAAAAATTCTTGCTTCTTTTGATTCACTATTAAATTGGAATAAACTTGGACAGTGGTGTATAATCTTAGCTGGGAGATAACTTGCTGTGCAGACTCTAGGGGCTTCCATTGCCAAGAACTGGCGGATATGTATAGCCCTATAGCTTTTATAAAGATACAGCGTGTTCTCTGGCAAACCAATGAAAATAATCTCTGATCATTCTGACATTGCATGGCTGAAGAAGCCTTTTTTTTTTTTTTTTTTTTTTTAATGCTGTGCTGTGATCTATCTTCAGGTCCTTAGTATTTGACACAACTAAAGGAAGTCTTAAAATACTATCTTCCCTTAAGCATTTCAGAAACTCTAGGGAGGCATTTTTGGCACATGCAGGAGCGCAGGAAAGATTTATCTGAGTGGAAGTGTTAGAGCTAAAATGTTAGGAATTAGTGTTCCAGCGAGGAGGCGGCCTAATTAAAAATTACAAAATAATGCAGGTGTGAGTTGAAGTTTGAATATTACTTATATTTAAAGCCAATTTCTAATTAATATTTAGCTTTCAATTTGATTGAAAACAGTTGCAATGTCTCTAATGTTGTAATAGAGAGAAGCTGGCGCATTGCGAAGTGTTGTACCTCTAACGAACACTAGCCGTACTTTAAAACTGTGAAACTCCTATGAAAGGGAATTGAAAAGGTATTGTTGACTCTTCACTTAGGTATACTCAAGAGTAATATAATTGACAAACCTGCTAATTCAGTCAGAACTGCTTGCTCCTTGAGTTTTTTAATGCTGCATTTTGAGCAAATACTTCCATTGCTGCAGTTTCCATTTTCTGATTGCATGAGTGTTAATTGCTGTTGCTGCACCTGACAGTGTTAGACTGCATGACAGTTTTTCCATGTATTTGTGTATTTGGCAGCCATTTCTTTCTTCGTGTGCTATTTCTTTAGTGTGAAATAGAAACAAAAGCCAGGCAGGTATGACAAGCTATTGCTGTGAAATGCTGTCTTTCATTTTGCATCAGTGGGAGTTGAGGGACATCACCAATTTGCAAGATCAAAACAGACTTTGTAACTAACTTTGTACACAACTACATAGGTACTTGTTATGTAATTACCTACAAAAGTAGTGAAATTAATGCTTATTGACAATTAAATATAAAACATCTGTAGGAGACTATAGTAAAATCTGCATTTACTTTAGAAATGTGGGCTTGAGGCACTCAAAGGAAACTAGATAAAGATGATATTGCCTTTAATGTCATGTATCTTTTGTTTTTCAAAGTTCTCAGAATTGAAGACTAATAGGAAGAATTGGCTGTGATTTTTTCTCATGGTTAAAAAATGGGGAAAAAACAAGCCATTTGATTTGCCTTGTAATGGTAAAATAGCAAAAAAGAAAAAAAAGTTGCCCTTTTTAATAAAAACAATGTAGGGCTTGTAGTAATTCCCATATGAACCAACATTTTGTTCATTATTTTTTGTTACTTTATTAAAAGAAAACATGCTGTGCCGCTTAGATTGAAAAAAGGAAGCATACTGCATAGGAGCTTTTGGTTCTCCATACATAGTTTGCATCATGTTGATGTTTGTTTTTTTTAAGCAGCACAGATGACAAAAAAAAGAAAAGAAAGTATTATTTTTTAAAAACAATTAAATACCAATGTAAATGAAAAAGATGTGCCAGAAATATCTCTGGCTCTCAATCACTATTTCAAATATACCTGCATATCCTGGCTTTTGTGTACAATGCTGTTTTTCTGTTAAGGGTATGTACATAATGATTTCTTGAAAATATATATATATATGCATACACACATATACTCTTTGCCAGGACTTCTGATTTATGGAGCAGATTTTTTTCTGACAATCTTCTTCCCTAGGTGGTGTCTCAGAGTGTAAGGTAAGGAAGATGAGTTATAGTGGAGAATATATCTTCTGCATCATCTCTTAGTTTTTCTATTTTGTTGCTTTCACTTTATATTTTGGGAGCTTTATCGTACTGAACAGTTTTAGACAGTTTGGAAGCCACTGAGTATATTAAATATATGATAATTTCTGCTGTCTCTATATATTATCTGGGGCGGATAGCTGTAAGGGAAGGGCTCTCTTAAAGCTTTCATCAATATTACAAATGTTTGAGCTCTTGGCTGAACGTATTGGGGAGTAGTCCTACAGAGCTATTAAGTATTTGGTTAATATCCAAACTTACTGCTGACCAGGTGCCACTGGCCAGAGGGGAGACAGAAACTCTAAATTGGGTCTGAGCTTTCTAAGCATAATTGTCAGGATATATTAGTCTACGTGATCTGCCTTTTGGTGATCTGTTCTGCCCCTGTTTTGCTTTGCCTGCCTTTGAGGATGATGTAAACAGTCCTCATAGGAGATAACATTAATGCAAAGTCAGAAGGTGTCTCCGTGTTCAAATACTGGTTGGTGGCTCATGATAAGGAAACACTGACCTTATGAGATGAATAGCATGCCCCCATCTAAGCAAGAAAACATACACATAAAAAGCCAACAACCAAAACAAAACCTGATAACAGGAAAAAAACAAACAAAACAAAACACAACAACACCCCTCTTTATCCTTCATTAAAAACACTTGGTTAAAACATTAGTTAATACTACAAAGAATGATTTTGGTACAGTTGAGATTATTTACATTTAGCAGTCAGTGTATTTCTTGAGTGCAGTGTGAATATTTGCTCATGTTATGTTTCCTATCATGGGAATATCTCACGAGGAGAGGTTTGCCATGTTTTATCTCCAGTTCTGTATCTATTGATTGAAAACTTTCCATGCTTATTGGTGTTTTCCAGCGTAATGTGCTCTGATACTGTTTTTCAATAGAACCATTAAATCTGCTGTGGAATAGCTAGACTGCATGCTGTCTGGCACTTGCCTGTTTGTGAAACCTTTAATGAGAAACTGGTGAGAACTCTGTGTGCTGTGGCTATGTGCAGAAAAGCTCAAAAGCCTTAGCCTGGAATATCTAATCTGAGAATGCTGCAGTATGTAGGCCTAATATTTCACAGGAGAGACATGTAATGTAACAACATATTGTGACTTTTCTGCATTGAATGAAGAAGAAATTTCATTTCATGAAAAAAATCTGTTCAGATACTGTGAGCTTTTGTCCTGCAAGATCTGGTTTCCATTTTTTAACTGAACTATCATGATTCACAGAGTTTAGGAAATAAGTAAAATAGCTCCCAATCCATTCTGAGGCTCAATTACAATGCCTCTGTGCATTTCTTTTGATTTATTACGATATCAGGGATTGACAGATGCAATGCAGAAAATTGTAACTTTGAACTTGGTGGCACTGCTTTGTTTAAGCAGCTTCTTGATGAAATTACTTCTTGTCTGGGGAAGGGCTGGTGGAAAAAATCAGTGAAAAATTAATGAGTTCTGTGAAGACAGTATTTTGAAGAAATTGTAATTATACAAAATTTAAAAGTAATGCATTGGAGAAGCAAACAATAAGTGAGACAACTTATTTAAGTATTGTATTGGAATTCTGTGTTTTAAGTCTAAATACAAAAATTAAAAAGCAAGTAAAACACAATGTCATAAGCGATGTGGATAATGCTTTTATCTGTAGATTGCAGGTGATGAGATGAGAGAGAAATGTGAAATGTGGAAAATAAGCTGAATTTAGAACAGCCACCAAAAAGTATTCTAGCCTGAAATAGACTTTTTTATTTGCTGGGATTTTCAAGGCTGATGAGAGCATAGGGGGTGGGGTAGTGGGAGAGGTTTTTTCCATGAGAACATATGCTCAATTTTCTGAATGCTTTTTTGTAGTTATATTCACAGTTGTGTTCTGAAATATTAAAGTCACAATAATAAGGGTTATCTTAAGTCACAGAATCACAGAATCACAGAATTTCTAGGTTGGAAGAGACCTCAAGATCATCGAGTCCAACCTCTGACCTAACACTAACAGTCCCCACTAAACCATATCCCTAAGCTCTACATCTAAACGTCTTTTGAAGACTTCCAGGGATGGTGACTCCACCACCTCCCTGGACAGCCTGTTCCAATGCCTCACAACCCTTTCAGTAAAGAAATTCTTCCTAACATCCAACCTAAAACTCCCCTGGCGCAACTTTAGCCCATTCCCCCTCATCCTGTCACCAGGCACGTGGGAGAACAGGCCAACCCCCACCTCTCTACAGCCTCCTTTAAGGTATCTGTAGAGAGCATACGGGTATACATTAAAAAGCAATTTCTAAAGTAAGAAAATGTTGAGACAGGCAGTTGGTGTCTGCTTTTTTCTAGTACTATTATATTTTAAAACCCAAAAGAATGTTTTCATTCATGGGAAAACACATTCATTAGGTCTGTTGTCTATCCCAGAGCAGACTGAATTAATTTGTGACTTTTCCTTTCCAGAGAAATTTTGAGGGAGATGCAGTCTTCATGACATAGGAGCTCCTTTGTGCTCTGGTATATGTACTGCGAGACCTGTACCTTCTGGGCTCCTCCCAAGAGGAAGGATTGTCTCTGTAGTTGTGGGTACAGTGTATACATAGGTCTATACAGCTCTCTGTCCTTCCCATTGTCAGGCTGAAATTCATCTTTCTACTTGATTACGTCTTTTTTTTTTTTTTTTCCACCCCTCGTATTATGGCATGGAAGGGTTTTGCTTTAGTTTAACATCCTTTAAATACTGGGGGGGAAAACGGATTGCTTTACAGAATTTATTTATTTATTTATTTTGCCCATAAGTTAAAATGATTATATAAAAGCAATACAGTTTTCAAGATAGAATCATTTGTGTCTTTCCTGTCCACCTTGGGCTCAAACAGACTGGTTCTTTTCCAGCCAGTCCTGAAGGAAGAGGAGGGTAAAGTGGATGTTTTCCCTTTCACCCTCTTTTCTTCTGTGAGTGGATAATGATTTCTGCAGCAATTGTTGAGGCCCTGAGGCTGATATTGCCTATTCTTGTCTCCAGTTCCTGATGTAGAGAGACACCATAGATCTTCCTAAAGCCAGGCTCACTGTATAAGCAATAAGGAGTACAGGATGGTGTAGGTGCCATTCTTCTGTCTTCTGCAAAGCGATGGTAGATGGCTTCTCTGAGACTCTTCACAGACACAAAGGAATGCTCAAGGTTTAGCCTTAACTTCAGGTGTATGTACTTCCAGGTGAAGGCTCACTTTTATATGCTTTCCTTTTTCAAAGTTGTTTCCGAGACAGATGGTCTGTACAATCAGATTGTAATAGGCAATGAATTGCAAATGAAATAGATAAAAAACAGATTATTCCTAAACCGGGACTTTCAACTTTGTCTGTGAGCTATCCTTAGTGGCCAGTGAAAGTTAGTAATGTTTGCATTGGAATAAATTTTAATGGAGCAGCCTGGGTGCAGTACAAAGAGTTCAGAGTTTCCAAATTATTAATATTAAATGAATACCACTCCCATATTTTTCCTAGCACCCACAGTGGTGTTGTTGACAACATTTCAGTGTAGTGCAGTGCCTTCCACGGATGAATTTCATGGCCCTTGATGCACCTCTTGGGAAAGACGTGAAAATTCACAGGAATGACCACTGATGTATTATAGTGGTTGAAACAAATTGAACAAGGTGAAACATTTGTGTGAACAAGGTGAAACAGCTGGTTCAGATGCATAATTATAGGTAAAATGAAACAAATGTGTTAGACTGTGCTGGCTAGTAAATGTGATGAAAATGTAGTGCATACAAAGCAATTCTTAGAATTTGTGTAAGCCATGTGCTATATGTTTGTGTGTAATAATGGGTGGGAGGGGTCAGTGGAGAACTCAGTGTGTTTACAGATACTAACAGTGTCAGCAAACAAGAATGTTTCATGCTGAAATTGGTGAGTATTTAGTACACTAGAGATTACTTAAACAAACAAACAAACAAACAAAACATTAAAGCTTCCTTCTTCCTGTCTCAACACTTCATGGTGCGGAATTTTTTTCAGATATTTAGGAAATAATCTATAGATAATGAGGATGTTTTGGGAATGGTTAAAGATTACAGGATTTAATTGAATCCATCTTTTGCTCTTCCTCCAATTATATTTGAATTAAATGGTACTAGATCTGATTAATGAGCACCAATTTAATTTATACCATTGATTTTTTGAGACAGATTAGTTTTTTTTTTTTTTTTAAATCAGTAGACTTACCATATCCTGAAGTCTTATTTGTATATTGATACTTATGCTGTATAAAGCTAATAAACTTATTCAAACCTTGGTAAATATGTAATAGTAGTATAGTATTTGATAACAGTAAGAGCATCTGATCCACATTAGTCTGTTTGGTTAAATAAGTTGTGAAGATAGTTCTATCCCAGTAATATGCATGGGGGGAGAGGGGGATGGAACTCCTTTTATGAATAAAAACCAAGATTATTGTCACGTAACCTTTACTTGAGAAGTTGATTAACAACAAATGTTAGCAAATCAGTACTTAATTTAACAAATAATGTATTGTAATATTGCATTGTATTGTTTAGGAGGAAATAGTTACTCAAATCAGCTTATATTTTTAAAATTTTTATTCCTAAAATGGTTCTACTGGGTAAAGCTGAGCTATTAGAATGTTGCTTTCTTCCTCCTTTTTCTTATACTAAGTCTGTTTTTTAATCCAAACACAAAATAAAACCCCTGCCAATTTCCTTGTTTTCTCTTCATCTAATGTTACTAGAGAAAACACAGAGTCACTGAATTCCTGTTTTTATACTGTCTTTTGAAAATGTTATACCATGTTTTGGGTGGTTCTTAATGCCAGCAACAGCTATTGTTTCTCTCCTTTATGTAATTCCTATGGTCAGTCACTTAAGTCCATTAATTTACCAATTCACATGCATTTTGGGGTCCATGGTGTTTATTGCAACATAAAGCTTGATAAACTTTAAGTCAAAATGTCAAGGTATTTTAACAAGAAAGAAATCAGCATTTTTTTTTCTGAATGGAACTAGTTTTAAAATGGATTTTATCCAGTCATCCTAAATACAGAATGTATTATAAATTTTAAAAGTAATTACTCCAGGAGAAATGATATGTGCTCATTACTTTCCTCATTGTAAACTTATTTGCCAAATGGGGGGAGCTTACTTATTTTGTAATATCTTTTTTTCTTCTAGGTATCTGATTTTGGAGGAATGGTTTCTTTGCCTACTGGAAGAATGCAGTGAAACTGCCAATATTTCTAGCTGGAGTTTTAAGTTTAATATTCACCTCTAGTGTTACTAATTCTTACTAAATAGTACCTCAAAGTAGAATAAAGATGTATGGAAGTGCAAGAACAATCAGCAACTTAGAAGGAAGTCCCTCCAGGTCTCCCCGTTTGCCAAGATCTCCTCGCCTAGGCCACAGGCGAACAAGTAGCGGAGGAGGAGGAGGAACAGGTAAGACGTTATCAATGGAGAACATCCAGTCCCTTAATGCAGCCTATGCAACATCTGGACCAATGTATCTGAGTGACCATGAAGGTGTAGCTTCTACTACTTTCCCAAAGGGCACGATGACTCTTGGAAGGGCTACAAATCGAGCTGTGTATGGTGGTCGAGTCACAGCTATGGGGAGCAGTCCTAATATTGCTTCAGCGGGACTGTCCCACACAGATGTCCTTTCTTACACTGATCAGCATGGAGGACTGACCACATCTTCACACCATCATCACCATCAGGTTCCTTCTATGCTGAGGCAGGTTAGAGACAGTACCATGTTAGACCTGCAGGCTCAGCTTAAGGATCTACAGAGGGAGAATGATCTTCTCAGAAAAGAACTAGACATCAAAGACAGCAAGCTGGGATCCTCCATGAATAGCATCAAAACTTTCTGGAGTCCTGAATTAAAGAAAGAAAGAGTATTGAGAAAGGAAGAAGCAGCCAGAATGTCAGTTCTTAAAGAGCAAATGAGAGTTTCCCATGAAGAAAATCAGGTAAGTAATTCTGTAAGTTTCTTCCAGTTGATTTCATGGCTAAGTACTAGATATTTTGCTTATAATATTGCATCCTACACTGGAACATATTTGACAATAGTAGGAATTTTATGTTCTATCTGCATTGGGCTGTTAAATAGTAGAAAAGGACACTAATAAGAACCTGAATGCAGGCTATAATTTTCTCCATGCAGCACTCTTTCACATTATAGCTGAAGAGAATGATTGTTTATCACCAGCTTATTTTATTATTTTTGAGACTTCCTGTAGTGTATTTTTTAGCAACAGTCTAAATATACTCAGCAACCTTTTCTGAAGAGGTGCAGAAGCATTTATACAAAAGTATAAACAAACATCCAGAAGCATATTTTGCATGAACTGTATAGGGATTTAGCTGTCTAGCTTTTTTAAGTTAAAAGATGAAGTGATATAGAAGATTCCGTTTTGGAATTTAATAATTCTGCATGTTACAGAATGATATTCCAGTGGTGTTACCAGCAATGCTTCAGAGACCTGTCTTAGAAAAAAACATCTTGTAAATATGTACTTCAAATACTTCTATTTGCAACACAACAATCTCTTCCTAAAGCTATAAAAAGACTAAAGCTATAATGTCACACTTCATGAAACTATTTTATTTCACAAAGTTATATAAAACAGCGGCACTGAGTATATCAAAAAATTATCACATTGCTGTCTCCATGCACTTCTTGGCTGCTGGTCTTATTTAAAACTGCTCCTTTTCAGACCATCTGTTAACTTCCCCCAGACAAAAACACAATCCTGTGTTTCTCTCACTTCCAGATTCCCAATCTAAACTTCTCCACTGGCTGGCAGACAGCAAGAACTGAATTAACTTTTAATTTACTTCTGAGTTTCTGATCATCATTACTTTTCACTAAGCTTTCTGATTCTTAGATATTTAGATACATGACATGCCCATGGAACCAATGAACTTGGTCTTGACTGACACCAGTCATACTGACTGGTTCTTGATCAGGAATTCAGTACTGTGAATGTGAATCCTTACTATGTAAGGAAATAACATAAAACTTCTAAGGTCAGCCCAAAAGTCTTTCTAGCCCACTGTGACAGTACTAGCAACGTCTAAAAGTTCATAGGCTAGAGCAAGTGTATGATGAGAACTCCACCAAGGACTCTTTGATCCAGGTACAGTTCGTGTGCCTAACTCTCAGGGGACTTTTTGAATTAGGCCAGTTTGCTTTTGGACCTACATAAAATTCTAGTGTCCACAGCCTCTTATGAGAGCGCATCATATAGCCTCACATGAAAAAACACTGTCTTGTGTTGGATATGGCACTAGATTTTGGCTACTTTACTGACTGCATTTTCCTAGCCCCAGAAGAAACATTGAGTAGCTGATCTCTCTCCAGTGCTCGTCTCCTTGCCACCTGTGGTTTTATAGTGGCCCATCATCACACTGCTCCCTCAATTCATTTTCACGGAAGAGAATGTTATTCATTTCATAAGTTATTTCTTTGATTTTTCTCTGGATTTTTTTCAGACTTACTATACATTTTTTTGAGGTGTGGAGACCAAAAGTGCTTATGTTTTTCACAATACAGGAGAAAAATAGTTTATACGCTGATGTTAGTGTTTGTACTGTTATTCTGTATGTCTCTTCCAAGATTTCCCAACATTGTTTTTTCTGGTTTTGGATGGTGTTATGTTTTTTTTTTTTTTTTTTTTTTTTTTTTTTGCTAGTGAGTACTCAGCTAATGGATTTCAATTAAATTAATATTTTAATGGACTTATAGCTGCAGGATCTCATCAGTGGCTATACTCAGTTCAGATTCCATCTTGTTAAGCATGAAGGTAATTTTATTTCATTTGTGTATAATTTCACATGCATCTCCTTAAATAGAATCTTTCAGTCCTGTGAAATAAAAGGAACATTGGGGAAAAATATCAGAAAATGAGCAACATTTGATATGGATTTGTCAAAAATCACATCAAACAAGTCTAGTTTTCTTGTATGACAGGAGAACAGGCTTTATGCATAAGCAAAAAGCACTAGTAACATTGTTATGGAAGCTTTTTACACCATCTCTGTTCGTCAGTGAGATGAATTTGTTATTGTAAGGATGCCTATCTCATTGGAAGACTGAGTCAGTGTAATTATCAATGATTCATGGTAAAATTTGAAAGACAATATCTAGTAGGATCTGGCAGGGATCTGTCATGTTTTAGGTTTTAATCAGTGACGTGAATAATGAATATGTTACTCTACCAGATAACGTCAAACAAGGAAGGGCTAAAAACATCCTGGAAAATAGGTTTATAACTGAAAACATTTTTTTTTTTCCAATAGAAGTTTACTTAGAACCAGAGCCTTCTTTAAAAAACGGTAAGAGCTGCCAAAAAATCAATGCAAAGATTTATGGATGCTAACTAGGACATTTCTGATTTTCTTTTGAAGATAATTTTACATTTGAAGATACGTGCTTTGTGCACCTGGCCTTTAATATTACAACCCAAAGACAAGTTAACTGTATTGTCTTGCTGTTCTTCTCTATCGTTCATTACATTCTCTCTGAGCACAATTAGTATTCTCTATGAGCACGGTTGGTGTTATTCCCTATATGATTCAATTAGATACAGAAGAGCAGGAAGTACTCTAAAAGTTTTAAACAATTAAAAGTGATTCTTCATCTTGGAATCAACCATTTGAAGTGTCTCAATTGGACATTGCACTTATTTCAGGTAGTTTATTATTCTTAGAAATCTTACTTGAATATATTATACAGAAGAGTTAATGTCGAAGGTTTCTCTGGAAAGCAAACTGCTAGGAGGTAGGTAGAACTGGGAGGACACAAATCTTCTGCAGTGTTAGTTGCTATAATTGCTACCTGTCCCTCAAATTTTTTTTCTTCTCGAAAACCACCTAATTTTAATTAGCTTAATATGTTCTTTGAAAACATATTATAAATTTTGATCTGCCTTTGAAGTTTAATTCCTGCCCTGATACTGCAGGAGTTCTTTGGATTAATACAAAGAACAAGGATAAAAAGGATAGTGAACGGTTCCTCTGAGAGGCTCGTAGGTTTGAATACAAAATTGTTCCTTGCAATAATTTCGGGCATCTGTATCAGTATGAATAACTCTCAGATGCTGCAGTTAGGGGAATAGAGCTGATAAAATATAATAATTTAACCAGCAAATAAGAGTATGCATGTTCATAAAATCAGAACTGCAAGTTTAACCACTCAATGTCATTCACATGTTTACATTATTAACACATTTCATTTTAACTTTGATTTGTAGCAAGTATTTAGGTAGAAAACTAGAAGAATTAGAATCATATAATGGTTTGGGTTAGAAGGGACCTTAAAGACCACCTCGTTCCAAAACCCTGCTATGGGCAGGGACATTCATTAAGGTTGGAAAAGACCTTCAAGATCACCTGGTCCAACCACCCCCTACCACCACTGTCACCACTAAACCATGTCCCTAAGCACCAACTCCAACTGTTCCTTGAACATCCCCAGGGACGGTGACACCACCAACTTCCCTGGGCAACCCGTCCCAATGCCTGACTACTCCTTATCCTTCAGCAATCTTTCTTCCCTTCCAAACTCAGTTTCACTCTTGTAATTGGCCATACTGTTTTCAATGTTTTAGGCATTTCCTCCAGCATTTGTACTTTCCTCCATGCTCACTTCTTCACTGCCGCTTCCCTCATCTCATTCTTTCTGTTATGCTGTTACTTCTCTGCTCTCCACTGCCTCTGACATCTGCTTTCCACTGTGACTCATTTTCCCTAACCTTGTTTTTTATATTTTATATGTGAGCATATGTGTATTGACATACATCTTTATAAAAAAGAAGAAGACGCTACCTTTCCTTATTACCTTAACTTTATTTCTGCACGTATTTTCTTCTCAAGACTCATGGTAGATCACACTCAAGGAGCACAAAGGTTACTTTCCTTATAAGCTAGTTAAGTTTACAAAGCAAGACTTTAACTCCTGAATAAACATTCCAGATATCGCAACAACTGTACTCATTCGAAGAGGACATTGCTTCTGAAAGTGTAATTACAGCTGTTTTGAGCCCAAGAAAAGTGCATCTCCACTAGGTCGTGGAATCATCAGAGTCATAGAACAGCTTGGGTTGGAAGGGACCTTAAAAGCTCTCTATTTCCAATCCCTGCTATAGGCAGGGATGCCACCCACTAGTTCAGGCTGCCTAGGGCCTCATCCAGCCTGGTCTTGAAGACCTCCAGGGATGGGGCAGCCATAGCTTCTCTGGGCAGCCTGTGCCAGTGCCTCACCACCTGAGTGAAAGAATTTCCTCCTACTATCTAATCTAAATCCACCCTCTTAGTTTAAAGCATTACTCGTCCTTATTAGTACATGCCTTTACAAAAAAATCTGTCTCCTGCTTTCCTATAAGTCCCCCTTTAGATACTGGAAGGCTGAAATGAGTTCTACCTGGACCCTTCTCTTCTCCAGGCTGAACAATCTGAACTCCCTCACCCTGTCCTCATAGGAGAGGAGCTCAAGCCCTCTGATCATCCGCGTGTTCCTCTGAACTTACGCTAACAGGTTCATGTCCATCTTACACTGGGGACCCCAGAGCTGAACACAGGGCTCCAGATGATGTCTCATGAGAGTAAAGTGGAGGGGGAGAATCCCCTCCTTCAGTCTGCTAGCTAGATTTTTGATGCAGCCCAGGATACATCTGGCTTTATGGCCTGCAGGTGCACGTCGCCAGCTCTAGTTGAGCTGCTTGTCCACCACCTCCAAGTCCCTCTCCTCAGAGCTGCTCTCAAAAGAAAATATAATAAGAAATATTCTGAAATGTTTCCCTTCTATGTATTAATTGTATTAGTAAACTGTATTCCTAGTTAAACATTGATCAGTCTGGTGCATACAGTCTAATTAAAATTATATACCATTCACTTACTTTGTTTTCTGATGCGATACTTTTTATACAAACTGTGCTCTTTTACTTATTTAGCTGCCTTGTAAAAGACA